AGTCAGAAACAACTCCATGGCATCTAACAACAACAAATATACCGTGGAGTGGATCAACACTTTCTAATTATTTGTTTAACAGTATAAGTACTGGAGAGTCTGTCTTAAAGGATCCAAAGGAAACTATAGTTTACTCTTGCTCTTCTTAGCAAGTTTTCAGACATCCAAAGTTCACTGAGTTCTTGATACCCTGAGAAAGAATAAAAGATACATTCTCTGCTGCACTCTTTTTTTCCTCCCTATTCCATGCTTCACCACGAGCAAATCTTTACAAATACTGCTTCCCGATACCAGGTACTGAGTAGCAAAAGAGACAAGAAAAACCAAAAACAAAACAATGAGGACTAAAACCCAGTTGTAATTTAATTTTCTTCAACTGTTAAGTAAATAAAATTCAAATGCAAATTCAAACCACAACATTGCTGCCCAAATCAACAGAGTAGCACCGATGTGCACCGATGTCTACCATAAGTTTAAAATACCAACAAAGAGATAGACCCTAAAACTTTACTGCCTGGGTTTATATTAGATTTTCCACTTACAAGCTGAGTGATTTCTTCACCTATAATATGAGGATATGTCACAGGATTGTTGTGAAGACTAAATTATTTTACATAAAGCTCTTGTAACAGTGTCTGTCACTTGATAGTACCAATAACATTTAGCTAATACTATTTTAAGCTCTCACTTCAAAAGTAGTAAATGTATAACATGACCTCAGTGAGTCCTTCCCAGAAGCTACCACATCCACACTGAGCAACAACTAAAGAACCAACTGATCAGATGTAGTTCACTTGTTACAAATAAAGAGTTTCACCACTCTTCATAGAACTTTTCTCCACTGGGTCCAGTATAGGATGGAGTTTAACATGCATAACAATGAATGAATCCTTTCTAGAAAAAACTTGAAAAAAAAACAAAAAACAAGTCAATTCCTGATAATCAGGAGTCCATTTCTCTTTGGAAATATGCAATACTATTCCATTCCCACCACTGCACTGGCAGCTGCCATACCCAATAGTAGAAAGGAGTGTATTTTAGAAAACATGTACAGTGGATACTCTATACATGTACTTTAGAAATGTCTGAATGTGGTTTGATTATTCTTTACAGTCAAATAAACTGCATGTTGGCACTCCTTTTTCCCCCTTCTGCCATCTCAATCTCCTTACTGCAGGCTCTGCTGATGATTTTCACAGGCAGGATTCATCTTTCTTTAGTCCCCCACCAACCTGGACTGAGGGAGCACACCCAGTTCAGGCCCATTACCTGATGGGGTTTGGAATGAAGTCAACAATGGGACTGGTTCCATTGCCATTGCTGGGTTCCAATATGGCTCTCTTTCACTCCTGGATACTAGCCAGATCCATGACTCTCCGCAGAACCCACATTTCTCCATAGACTCATATTTTCTACTTTTTTTGTGAGTCAGCCAGAGGACTGGCTTTTTAGTCTTGGCTCCTATACCTCAATTCTGGCCAAACACCCTGTATAGTAAGTACCACAGCTCAGCTTCCAAGACTGGAGCTTAATTCCAACTGCAGTCTAGTAGCCAGGGGCTCCATGTTCATACTCATCCTCTAGGCTCACTCACCCAGCCAAAGAATTGATGGAAAGAACCCCCATTCATTGATCTCATTCCACCTGAGTAGTCACCTCTATTTTGACAGCCAAATATGAGCGGGTTACAAAAACTTTAAGGAAAAATTTCACTATCTTTTCATTCCATTTTTCCCGTGAACTTTGTGAAGCCCCCTTGTACTTGCTCCCTTGGAGCTATCATTCTCAGACTTCTAATTGTCTTATGAGTCTGCCTTGACCACAATTATCCCTGAAAATAATTTTTGGAGCATCAATTTCCACACCCCACCCCAGTCTAGGGTCTGAGTTCATGCTTGTCTCTAAATCTCTTGCGGCCCAAACTTTGCCAATAACCCAATGCCTCACACTTATGTCATTTTCAGGGGTTGTGGTAACAAAGTATGGGGCAAAGTTCAAAGGCAGGGAGAGAGTCAAGAAAGAGATAGGACAAAGAGTATGTTGTCAATATTTCTTGATAAGTAAAAAGTTGCAAGCTCTCTTATTAAGGATGAACGTGAAAATATACACAGCATCAACAGAGCCACATCAAAACATCATGAAATAAATAAGCAGAAACATGATCATATTCATATCTAGAATTTTCCATCTCATCAAAGCCACGCAAAGACAGAAAACATCACAACATTTTTGAGCCAATTAATCAGGCATGCTTGGTGACATTCTTGGTCCATCTCTCTGGACATGCCTACCTCAAACCACTGGCCGTGGGACTGCATTTTGAGGATGACACAGGGGTCTGGTTTGGAAAGGGCATCTCTGTCGGAAATTCCTTTGCACGCCACACGCAGCTCAACTTTGGTCAGGCAGGGGCTATTAAAGATACCCAGTGTATTGGCAGCCGACTCATAAATGTTGCTCATCTTCTTCATCCTGTTTCAGGTGAGAAAAAAAGGAAAAAAGTGCCAATCACTGTAATTTTTGTGAAAGGTGAAATCTTCCCATTGCCCTTCAGGAAACTGTTCCATGCACAGTTTCAAATATTGAAAGTATTTATTATCTATATTTCCACTCCAGTGGCACAATTCCAGTGAAATAAACCAAAAAAAGAAAAAGAGAGAGAGGGGTACTGCTTGGTTAAGAATACCATTTTCCTATATGATTTGCATACATTTACATAGTAAACTTTTTATTCTGTGAAATAAAATTAACGAATTGGTGCAATAGACTGTAAATTGTAATCTAGTTCTATATTAAATGAAGTTTTGTGTTAAATTTTACACACTTGTTGGTTTATCAATTTAATTACATTCCAAATTTTTAAGAGGTTCTAAAAATCCAGTTATTCTGCTATGTGATGTAAAAGATCTCTTTAAAACCTTGCAAAGTAAACCTGTCACTTTGATATTCTGATGTGGCACTGTAGGATAAGCACTGGACTG